TGTTGGTGATAAGGCTTTGATTTAAACTTCACTAGCACGGGATAAAAAATATGCTTACCATGTGGATAAGATGACGAAAAGAGGAGAATCCCGCAGACCTCTTGACACCAGTTTAGCGTGCTACAATAGAAAGAAAAAAAGAGGGTGGAATTAATAAAAGCACTGACATATAGTTTTTCAAAAACAATAAACAGGTAAATAAATTAATACATTTACTTACTTAAGTTAATCTTTCATATCATGCCTTAGAGAAAAGCAAGAGTATTCCATAAACTCATATATTGAGTGTGGACAAGGATTCTCAAGTTCTTCAAACAAAACTACTCCAAAACCAATGGATTCCTGGACATAGTAGATGCTATACTCTTGCCACCATGAAGTTTTGTATTTTTCAACAACAACTCGACAAGTGTTTCCATCAAAAATAATCATTTCAACCTGACCTAGAATTATATCACCACCTGTTCCACTCAGTAAAAGAAATTCGCCAGGCTTGTGTTTAATATCATTGAGCACTAAGCTTTCAACAACTTCACTTTCTTCTGGAAGATTAAGACTCATGAGGAAATCTTTTAGTTCTTGGTTTTCATTTTCATATTCTAAAGGAGAAGTGTTACTGAATACAGGTCTATCAGGAAATAACTGTCCCATACTCTGATAAGCCATTAGCAGCTGAAACTTTCTTGCTAAAAGCTTGTTCAGATTAATGAAATTCCTGCAAATTTGACTGACTCGTTTAAAATATTGATGGCGATGTTCGAAGGCCATTGTCCACATGTGAATCAAAGGACCAAATTTCAGAAATAAATCCTTATAGTGGGAAAAAAAGTGATGCTTAGGTTTATAGTTGTTGGGCAGTATTTTTCTTTTTCTCATGTACTTCTTAATACGCACCCCCATGAGCTCTACCTGATCAGCTGTCAATGCAGGGGCACATACTAGTTCAATTGTTCGCTTCAACAAAAGATAAAGCTTCCAAAGCTTATGATCAGTTTTAACCCAGTCACCTATGAGAAATGGTAAAAGACGGCATAGAGTCCAGTTTTGGATGGCATGACCACCGAGCTTCTTCTTCGTCATCTTGTAAGGGGCAGGCTTATTTCTTGCATCTCTTCCTTTATATTTAAATCCTCTGATCCTCATGTTCAGTCCCTCTTCAGTGAACCACCCTTTGCCAATCATGCCACGGATTATGGAAGCTAGATCATTATCAACTACCCCGTCGATAAATAGGTCATGTCCAAGACATGGTGGGAGTCTTGGATCGCATACATGGAAATGGTCAAGTTGATTAAACGGTGAATTTCTCTTTACACCAGCCTCATGATCAACATTACTATTAAGTTTAGTGCGAAGGTCTCTATTGAAGGATTCTGGCGTCCTCCAATTCCCAACAGGGAACTGTGGAATGTCTAGTTTGCAATTAGTTTTGTAATCAATTTTAGACAGATCACAGAATCTACAATAGTGTGATGCACTGAATGATTCCACAAATCCTCCAATGCCATTTTGGCCAAGATGATCCCCTTGAAAAAACTGGACTCTGACATCAATTCTTTCCTCTTTATAAAGAAAGCCATCTCTTTCTAGTATTTTTAAATCTTTCAAAAGTGCTTCAAAACACTTTCTGTACCTGACATCAGTTTTTTTTAATGCTTTTTCATTTAGCACCATGACCAAACGCATGGCCTTGAGAAACGCTCTCATATATGGGTCTAGATTTCCTAAGGTCATGTACATACCATTTGTTTTGTGCTTATTCTTCGCAGAGCCCAATGGATTGGCACAATTGTAAGCGTCCATGTAAAGTAGAATATCAATCCTCTTCTGGGGAGTTCCACTCTCACGATACACAGACCCATCTGTGTAGTTTGCATACACAGAGCCATCAGAAGGAGGGATATTAAATGACCTATCCACAACTTTTTGGACAGACGGATCTTCAAGCATAAGTCGAAGTGATTCTTTGATGTCAACATATTGGATGGTGTCTTCAGTATTTTTTTGATCTCTTCGAAGATTTATCTGCACTGGCTCCTGGTATTTGAAGTGATTTTTGTAATAGGTTTGCCGCAGAGCCTTTGTAAGGAAACATTCACCAGGAGCATTTTTGTGATGGCAGTTGTACAGGGGGTCCATTGACACAACACTTCTAATGACGTCTGTTATGACATCAGCACTAAGTCCCACAGAGGTCAGAGACTTTGTTAGATCTCTCCTTAACTTGTCTTGCACAATTTCAGTAAGAAAAGATAGTTTGGAAGCTAAGGCATTTACAGTAGAAGACGGCACAATGTATTTCCCCTCTAGCATAGCATAGAAGTGGGCTATATTCTCTACAATTTGATCATAACCATAAACACCATCCTCCTCAGCTTTAGAACTTGCAGTAGAGCATGAATCATTGTCTGGAACACCAGGTTCATCATCATTGCCAGAATTTTCCCCGGGATTTTCACTGCCATGAGCATCGTCAAAGGGTTCAGCAGGAATATACTGGTGTGCCTCAGGGACAGGCACATGTTCGCCCGCTGTCAGTGCTGAAGTAGAGAAATCATCACGCCAACCCGGATGGCATCGAGACAGGTGATTTCAGGTTTGCGTGTTGACGGGGTGGTCACTGATGGCGGGAAGTGGAACCGCGTCATGTGGCAAGAGTTCAACATAAGTGAAAACTCTCCAAGTGCAATTCATCCAACTGATGAAAACAGAAAGTTGTGGTTCTTTTCGGATTGGTGCCACCTCCTCAAATGCATGAGGAATATTTTGAGTCCAGAAGCACCTAGAATTAGGAAAAAAAAAAGTCAGATTTGTTATAAATTAACATTGAACGAGGTTTTAAAGGCGTAGGATGGGGTTGGAAACGTCGGTGGGGGTGCGAGCGCATAAAGAGCTGTAAACTGTAGACGTATTGTTACAAAAAACATGGAAAAATACCGAAACCCCCGCGTTTTAGGTCTTTTAGATGGAAAAATTGGAAGTGTCCAATAACTATGACATGCCGTCCAATAACTGTCTCCAGCCGTCCAATAACTGTGTTTTTCGACCTCTGACTTTGTGACCTTGTAAATGGCGTAAGGGGTTGAATTCTTAGGCAAACTAGAGTGGTAACCTTTAGTTCGAACCTTCAACTAGCCCATGAGCCCATAGGTACGTATCATTTTTAATCGAGAGACGCACAGCGCTGCGTCAAACGAAAGTGTGCGCTTAACCGTCCCATAACTGTATCACCTACCCTACCATAAGTGGTTCAGGTACGCTTCGGTCGCAGGCTTTGCTATAATAGGGAGACACAACTAGGAGCGAGCTTTTCTTAGGGGAGAGCTCTCTTCTGAACTACTACCTCCTCAGCTACCCCCGCAACACATGGGCCGCCTGGGTCCCGCCTATTCGTTGCGTGGACCCTCGGAAGCAGGTAGCCAGCCACCACCGCAGCAACATCTCCTCAGAAAAGCTCGCACCTGGCTGTGTCTCCCTAGAGAAAACGTCGCATACTACTTGATGTTTTTCAACAGTTGTAGATCAAAACGTGGAGCAACAGCCGCTATGGTGGCCGTGAACCACGGTTCCAGTAGGTTCTTACAAAACAAGCAGGCCCGCCCCTCCACCAAAC